GTATATCATCAAATATAAGTCACATGTCAAAAATAATCCACATATAAACAACATGTGACTTTCTATTTCCTTTGTTTAACAATGTGTGTGGTAATTATCCAAATGCCAAAAGCATGTAATAACAAGTAAATAACATATATTCAAAAAACCTACTTGTTAAGCAAATGCTGACTCTATGAGTTTTATCCATTAGAGGTAACATTCTAAAATATTGTCCATGAAGCTTTAAATTGTCCATGAAGCTTCAATGTTTTTTCAAAGTATGCTTGGGCTATTCCATTGAAAAACAAATCATACATTAGTGAACGCTTTTCAGAAGATATTATCATCAGGATGCAAGCCGATACACATTCAAACGGATCAAGGCTCGGAACTTTTTAATTGGGACTTTAAGAAATTCATGAGAGAAGAAAACATTACATTGTTCAACACATTTAACGATAACACATAAATCACATACGTTCAAAAAAATCATTCTGAAATATTGTCCATGAAGCTTCAATCGAATATAATTTATGCAATCTGTGACGAAAAAGCATAAATTTCTTCCGCAATTTATAGTACTTTCTTTTAATTTTACTTGCAATTTACTTTTAAAGAACATTATCTTCTGACAAACTTCTTTAATTCCATAAATAGATCTTAGGTAGTGTGTCCGTGTGGTCTAATTCGCGGGTTTTAGGCACCAGTCATGTAATTGGCACAGGATCAAATCCAATTGTTTCCAAAAACCTACTTACATTAGAATTTTTTATTCAGATTAACAAAAATAACCAAAACTGTCTTATATAAGAATGAGAATAAGCTTGACTGACAAAAACCACGAGCAAAATAAACTCACCTTGCGCAAACGTATGTATCAGTGATACAGTCATACTTTGTCTAGTTAGTTTTCTTGCCTCTATTATACCACAATGCTATGAGAAGCATTCAAACAGTTGTAAGTGCAAACAAATTGACGTCACATTGCTCAAGTAATGCAATATTGCCGCGTGCGAATGGTGCAATCAGATTACATTTGAGAACAGAATTCAATGTAAAATTACGGTCGTAAACAAAGTTTAGAGACTTTTTAACTTTTACAGACGATAAATTTTGATAATTCCATATAAAACTGATGTCAAAAGCCATTCGCTTCATGTCACCTTGAAGCCATATGACGTCAATTTGTTTGCACTTAGCTCTGTTTGCATGCTTCTCATAATGTTCCGGTATAATGGAGGCAAGAAAACCGATAGACGAGGTGGTTGGTATTGTATCGCCATTTGAAACTTTATGACTGAATACATTGAAAACTAAAATTGACTTCATGTGATCTCCGTTAAAAACTCAACTTAGTTTGCTACTTATTTGTTATTGTATGAAATCGTAAATTTGCCAATCTTTTCGATTTGCAAACGACTATGCTTACACATTTTACTGAGTCGGTAGATTGCAAAGAATCGATCACCCCAAACAGTACCCATGATGTGGAGCAGTGTTTGTTCTGATTTATTTTCTGACAACATGGTTGCCTAGAGCATCTTAAGCATGGCACTGTGCCAATATCCTTTCATATATGAATATAAATATGAAGATATTATTGAGCAGGCTAAGTCTTACAACAATAAACTTAGATTCAACATACAATGATTAATTGCCTTCCCTATCAAGAAATTTTTGATCGTGATGTAATTTTATGGATGGAGAAAATGGATTAACTAAAATATAGTCTCTATAATGTTGTCCTGAAGCTATAGTCTTGTTGAAGTGAATATGTGGAAATGCTCAGGTTATCTTTCTGGTAATATTGCAACGAAACTCTGCGATGCATTGCTCACTTGCCAAAACAGCATGAAAGACAGCGAGCTATCAAGATGACCTATTAAATTGTAAACAGCTCAACAAAAAATATAAACACAATGTAAATGCACATACGCATGGACGTGTACCCAGTGTTGCAAGATAAAATTTTAAAGTATTCATGCTTGGTTTCGTCAAAAGTTCACAAAAATGGCAAAAAGTTCATATTACATCTAATCTTTAAAATCGAAAGTTAACGGACTAAACCGAAAATTCTCAAAACACCTGGAAAATTGTCGAGAACAGTCGGAAATTACCAGAAAACATCGGATTATCTTGAAATTTAAAAATCGTCGTTGTTTTGAAAGAATTGTCGAGGTATGAAGATTTCCCCCTTTCATTAAACTATAATTTACCTATGCTTACTTGATGAAAATGATGAAAATACAAAAATTTATGAAATTTTGAAAAGCTCACAAAAAGTTTACAAACTTTTAATGTTCATAAAATGTTCACGAAAAGAGCAAAAGTTCACAAATCTGTGAATTTTTTCACGATCTGGCAACACTGCGTGTACACGTTTAACAGAAGTCATTTGTATCAATTCTCTCCTTTGTTTTTGCGTCAGCACAAATTGATTAAGCATTTCCGCGATTTGGCCAGTTTATAACCGGGAAATAAGTGGCAATCGCTGCAGATAAAATGATCGCTTTCAGAAGTCTCCATTTTAAAAAATCCACATTTTAGTACCTTATCCTAAAACGCATTTAAGAGAATATTTAGCTGTTTAGTAAATATACTAAGCATATTCGATGGTATTAGTGCAGACAGAAAGCGCGAAAATTTATACGTTTTGAAGCAAAAATATTCTATAGTGTGGACGTGATCTTTATGTAAGTATCTTTACGCAATAAAAGTATCTCCCGCTGAGCAAATTTGTTTCATATAGACCAATGCTGTTCTTTATGCCTTCGGCAAATTATACATACATATAAAATGTGGCATCTAAAGTTTGCTGCGTTGCTGAAATAAGGTCGCTCTTAACCTACAATGACGAGCTTGCTACTTACTTGTAGCAATCTTTATATGATAATTATTTCAGATACTTTGGTTTAAATTGTATCTCTTACTTTGAATTACCAAGTCTTCTTTATATAGCATTATCTCACCGACTATTTGTTTAATTGTCCATCCATATAATCATATGGCAGCCCTTTAATGCTGTAGTAGTTTTTTCATAAAAAAGCACAATCTGCTTTTTCATAAAATATTGAATATAGCATAAAATTATGACTGCGATATTGACATGGTAAGACTGTTGTATAGATGCCTGTCTAAACTCTAAGAAGAGATCAGCTAAAATGTTTAAAACCTAGCAAACTCTGCAAAGAAGATAATCAATGTAAATATTTGTTAAAATTTGTTGAGCAGCTTGAATAGTAAACAATTTACAAAAGTCCACCTCACATTACAGAATCCTGCTCGAGAGCACGCCCCACAAATGAAACTTTGCTAAGCAGAAACCTACAGTATGCGCCAGGTGTAACAAGCTGCACAAGGTAACTAAGGCCAAGTCGATTTCCAACAAAAGATTTGCCTTTGTGCTAAAGTTTTACTTTTGATATATTTGTAGTTTAAAATCATATCAACTTTTTGCTTTCGCAATCACTTGTGCAAAATTTTGAAAACGTAAAAATCGAAAATGCTAATAATTCATGACTTATGTTTCATTATGAAGATAAGAATTAGTTCGATAATGAGAATATAAATACAAATATTTTGCTTATTTCATGAAAATATTTACGAGTAGTAGAAGGTTGTGAAAAAATATCTCTTTGGTGTTCCTTTTAAAGTTTCTTAATAGCTAATGTATAATTGTCGTAAAGTTGGTATAGTGTTAGCTACTGTGCTTCAGAACTATGACAAAAATTCATACATAGATCTAAGAAAGTTGTTTCTTAATATTTCATGATGTACATAATTGTTATTTGGCTTACATAAATTTTAATTACTTTCCTAAATTGCATATTTTCTTACAAAAGCACGTACGCGTTAATAAGACGAAGACGCCAATAAAGCAATACTTAACAGATTATATAGTTGTCGGTAAACTATCTGCACGTACAGTGAAAAATTAAACTATCAATAATTTATATAAGCAACAAAAGTATCCCCCGCAAAGCAAATTTGTTTCAAATAGACCAATATATTACTCGTATTCATGTAAGTACGCGTATTCTCTGACGCAAGCTTTGCCATAGACACATATTCTGCATTATATCATTCTTTAAAGCATTCAATAAAAAGCAATCAGCAAAATTAAAGACATTCCTAATTCGTAATTAGAACGAAAACTGTGTTTACATAAGGCTTGCTAATAAAAATGGCAGTGATGACTCGAGTCACTTGGAAAGATAGAGAAGACAGAGGCGTCATATCAAGAAGACATTACATATATTTATCAAATTCACAAAGGTAAAATCATATTTATAAATCATTTTTTCATAGCTCAATATTGCGCTAGAGTGTATATATTTGACGTTTTATTTTACAAAGTATTTAGTGCATGGTTCATCTGTCTATTGTGAAATATTTTTCGCAGTTTAATGAAAAACCACTGTCAAACAACATTCAAATGCATTAATTTTGCTCGTCACACTATGTTATTAGCTGCTTTTACTTGTTCCTTCATCACCAGCAGTACAGTTTTTAATACCGGTGGGTTTGTAAGTTAAAGTTTCTCTTATTTGTCCATTTTTCGTGGTATGTAAGCAAAATAAATTGTATAAAATATACTGGAGTAATAAAGTACTGAACAGTTAGGAAAACGTCTTTAAAACGATCAGTTCACATGATCCGCAAAACCTTTAATGGATTAGGTAGATCTAACTGCAATATAGGTCATCTGAGAAAAAAATTTTCCCAATAACTAAATTTTTCTCATCAAAGCCAAATTTCTGATGCACGTTTATCAACTTTTCTCACTGGTCGCAAAATAATGCAGTGGATTATCTTACTTATAATGATTTGTGTGAATATCTGCAATTTCCTTGCTGATTGATGCAGATCTGCTATACATTGTAAAATAAAGGAATAATATCAAAACAAGTTGATGGCAGCCGCATTTGTTTTGTTTCCAAACTCGCTGCAGTTTTCAACATGTATCTTTGTCGCGTGCGTTGTATAGTGTCAGATTCAAGCTAGGTCAGAACACGTTAATGAAAATATATTCCCGTTTTAAATTAATTTAGAGCTAAACATATTTCAGAGTTATTTAGTCTTAAATAATCTTTAGAAATTTTTACAAACAGCGTTGTTAAAAAACAACTAAGGAAAATTGATACGGACTTGATGAAAAAAATGGAGGAACATAAAACCGTTCTGAGCTCAATCGGTTGGCACATCTTTAATTTCATTTATTCCATTTCCAATGTAAATACTTATTTATTTATATATATTTTTCTGTTTTAAACTTCCTTTAAATAGATCACACTCCCATTCAATGTAAATATTTTATTCATATTTTCCTATACTGTATCATATTTCGTAACACTATTATTCGCACTGAAGATGCCATGTTCGTAATGTCGAAACATTTTTGCTACGAAAAAATCGTCGTTTTTAATAGATGCTGTTATATGATATAGCAATTTAGCAATACTGAATTGCTAATGTGGATTTTGTTATGCGCGACCAGTGGGCTCCCAGTGGTATTGCCCACTTATACAACAAAGAAAAAGACCTGGCGAGTTTAAAACTCCGTATACCTTTGGCGTACAAGGAATCATTACGCTTCACTTTTAACACCTATGAAAGCTATACCCAGTCTATTAGCAGATCAGTTTCTAGTCAACAGGTGTGTTGCGGGTAGACTATGAATTTTAATAAGCATGAATTTTGCACTTACCATGAATTTTTTCACATAGTATGAATATTTGCAATATAGCATTTTTGTCCGCTTCAGCGCCTAATAAGTGCCTACAACTAGTATGTGTACGTAATGGCATGGTTTTGAGTGCAATTTGGGAAAAACATGCACGAGTAAGTTTTACAAAGACTATTAATATTTTCAAAGAAATATGACTGTTTATTTAAGGGATTTTTAACTTCAGCGCAGGTACATTTCAAGCGGCAAGTTATCGGCCGCAACGTATTTTTTATTTTGTCCAATATTATTTTTCACAACACCACAGCTTCCACATACACACAGCAAGAACAAAATATCTATTTTTAGCAGTGTTCATATTTTCGTCCAGAAGCGTCTTACAAACGATAAACGTAGAAAGAAAGTATACTTAAAGTCATTGAAATTACTTTGTTTACAATAATGTAACGCTCCCGCATTTGAAATGTTTTATTTTGATTATTTTGACCTAATATTTTGATTGGCTTTTAGATCACTTGTTTGTATGAAAAACCTGTCATGAACGCATTTTTTTAAAATAATTTGTATTGGTTTTTTCACCGGTGTTTTCATATTTTTGCATTAGTATTTAACGTAAAGTGCACTGGTCCTAACCAATCAGAATTGAATTTTTTTTCATGTAAATTATTAATCAAAAAACGTTAATCATAATACCATGAATATTTTTTGTAAGTCTTTGCAGAAATATAAAACATGGTTTATTTGCAAATTTTTGCTATGACAGTAAATTTTTATGCTGTTAAAGAGTATGAACTTGAAAATAATCATCAACATTTGTTTTGGGTTAATAAATCTAAAAGCAAGTATAACTTAAGTAGGTAATCAATATTTCATTAAAAAACTTCGGTGCACATTTTTAAAAACATTTAAAAAAATAAACAATGAGAGTTTCGTCTTATAAAATGTACAAGATGCAACGCATTTTATGAGTGATTTGAAAAATCAAAATATACATAATTTTTTAGTGCGTACATTATATGTTGAGAATTTTCTTCTGTTTTTCAACTTTTGCTGCATTAAAAATATAAATGAAAATCGTTGATGACAAGTCAAAAATCGGAGTCAGTCTTTCATTTCATAATAACTGAGCATTTATAAACTTTTTATTTCTAGGTTGAAATTTATGTAACAATGCACTATTGGATTGCTCTACTCCAACTATTTTGCGTTCTTCCCATTATTTCTAATAACTACCTAGCGGAAATAAAAAATCGCCTAGGAAGGCTGTCATCTCACTTCATTTTAAGAAATATCAGTACTTCCAGCATGCATCATTGTCTTCACAACTGTTTCGAGGAAAGTTCCTGTTTATCTTTTCAAATTTGTGGTACAGTCTGTCAACTTCTTTCCACTAACACAAATGAAAGATCTTTAGAAGAAGATGATCAATGTATTTATTTTACCACGAACATGTCTAGTATAAGGGTGAGTTTTTGAGGTAAAAATATTGTTACGTCTGTCATTTTGAAAATAACAAATCGACGTTACTCTGCAATTTCTCTAATAATATTTCCACTATGGTAAAAAATGAAATCACTCTAAGTATTCGTCTTCATATTTCTATTTAAGTTAAGGGAGTGATAATGAAAAAACGTTTCTTTTCAAACTTTCAAAGGCAATTGCAATGATATTGGAGGCTTAAACTTGCGTATCTATGCTGTGCCAAATATCCCAAAATTTTGTTAGCTTGAACAATAATTTTCATCTTTTTAGCTTTATTTGTTAAAACTTCTTGTTAGTAATGTTATTTATGGGCATGCGTAAATTAGTTTAAAATGTTCTTTCGGAAACAAAAATATACACTTTAGAAAAGAATATTTCCAAATTTTGTTCCACATGTCCTTACAAACCTTGCAAGCCTTAATTGAGGAATTTAGCGTTGCTATTTTTTAATTTTTTTGTCATATTAATAGGACCGTCGCTAGAACGTTGATTGGGTTTTAGGGTATTTTTATTACTTTAGGAAGTTGTACCGGATTGATTTCATTTGAAATCCACTAGCCTTTCTAAAAAACCAGAGACATTATTAAACATATGAAGAAACACCTCCCAGATTAGTGATCTAGCCATGGCACTGACATATTTATAAATCTTGGTAACAAAAATATTGCTTAAGAAAACAGTGATAGTAGGATAAACGAACGTTGACTAAAAAGACCGTTTTTTGCGTTCGTTGCTTTCTTAAAAATATATCTTTAAACTTTTACTTTTACTTCGTAATGTTAAATGTCTCAAGTGAAAAGTTCACACGTGAAACAAGTTCATATATGAAATTTAAACACGTTTTATATGAAATGAGTTCATATATGATTTGTTTTACTAACAAATATATTTCACATATGAACATAATTTACTTATGAACACTTTCCCATATGTATACACTTTTTACGTGAAAATTTCACAAATGCTAATAGCTATAGCAGTATACATGTACTTAAGTTTTACACTATTTCCCTAAACACTCTTAGTGGGTTGATGATATTCCAGACATTACTCATGCAAACAACTACAACTAACTTCTATTGCATTGAGGTTGAGTGTTGAATGAATAGGAAAATGTTTGTCAGTCAGTTAAAACAAAAATCATGCATTTGCATAATGGAAAAAGCAAATTCAAACCTAAAATAACATTATTAACTGAGGTAGAAAAACATCATTTGTTTTAGTCAAATTTGACAATTGTAAAGTTGATGAACTATTGTCTTGTACATAGCAAAGCCTTTATCTTTCTGAATTGGATGAAAGACGCCAGAAAATCAAATAAATATCTAAGCTACAAATGTCTCAATGCAAAATTCACATATTTCATCCACACGTTCTTAACATCTTGCATTTATGACGGAATGCTAGTCTTTTTTGAAAATCTGCATTTTGTTATTTACATTGAAATTTCAAATTATCAACAAAGTTAAGCAACTGATTTATACATATTAGTGATAAAATGTGGAAGTTAAATAGCCGAGAAAATGTACTCCAAAGTAAATACACATCACCGTACCTAAAAACGTATTTGTTAACGAGGATTTTTAAAAATTTTATTATGATTTTTAATCGCAATTAACCAGCCGCAATAAAATTTATAGTAAAAAGGTACATTTTTTAAGGTATTTCCCTTTTTAGATTTTTCTTTGTTTTCTGTTTTTGTCTAAAACACAAAAATTAATTACTTTTAAAGTAAGATTGTCGTTTTATGTTTTTATTTCTCTTGCTAGTTCATGTCAAAATATTGTACAGAAAGCTTCAAGTTTTCATCGTATTGCTTTAATAATGGTACGTGTCAAAAATCAGACGCTCCGTACACTGAGACATGTAACTTTTGTGAATGTAAAGAAGGATTTGTTGGCAAACGCTGTGAAAAGAAAGCAAAATCTTGTCAAAACTTTCATGGTCAGTCTGATGGCTGGTATACAATATTTACAAATGAAAATAGAATGGTTAAAGTTTTCTGTCAGTTTGATTCCGTGAATGTTTGGACATTGGTCACGTCCTATAGCTTTAAATTACGTGCTCAATATAGATATCAACCTTATTATAAAAGTTTTTCTCGAAACGAAAAGAATGAAACATTGGAAGATCATAGACTTTCTTTCAACGCAATGATGAGTATAAAAGAAGACGGAAACACGTTATGGCGTATCACGTGCTCATACGGTGACAAAGACTGGAATAAAACAGATTTGGTTGTTGCAACCCATGAAAATGCACCAATTTTGAAACAGAATAATAACGGTGCCGTTTGCCTAAATGTCAGTTTTATCGATATCAAAGGCTACAACTGTAAAGATTGCAGCATTCCTTTCTGGCAAGATGACGCACAAATTTTTCATACAGACAATACCCAACATGAAACTATGTGCAATCTGAAGAATTTCCAATCATCAGTCTGTAGCGGTGGGACAGGAGAAGATAATTTTGGATTTTATGTTTGCTATGACACTACACATCGTTGTGCATCGTCAGATAATGCCACAACACAATTATGGTTTGGTCAACGCATGAATTCAAACTGATAAGTACAATGTACGACTTTTAAGTTAAGCCAATTAATAAAAATTCTAATCGGACGTTGTTGACATAAAAGTATTTACAGCTACTTATAGAAGAGACAGGCATTATTTAAAATGTTTAGTCAATCATGTTATTAGAGACAAGAATTCTACTTTGCTAGTGTAAGTTTACTGTAGACATAAATATTGAATTAATTATACGGATTGAAGAACAAACGAATGTTGAAAAAATTGAAATAAACGATGGAACAGCTACTTTGCCTCCCAAGTCAAACACAAAATTTTGTCTGACCGATAAGCTTCTTCAGATAAATTGATTAATAAGCTTTGTGTTTTTTGTTTTTTTCTTTAGAGAATTGTACCTGTCAAAAAGCATGAGTTAATAGTTTCAAAAAAATCTTTGACATCATAAGTTGTTTTTTTCAAAGAGGAAGATAACCATAGATCTTTATACTTGCACGCACAGAATCGCACAGAATAAAGACAATACAGAAGGTTCTCTTGTGCTGAAACATTAAATGTTTTTGGCCTGGCACAGGTTATGCTGCGCAAAACGGTGAAAACATCGGTGAAGCATGTCGTTAGAGTCGTCATTTCTTTCTAATCTTTAAAATAATACGAAGTCATTTCTTAAGCGAAAATATTCCAAAATTCATTTTTCAAAAATGACGTCATGTAAATTCAAGGGTTGCAAACAAGTGACAAACCCTAATTAAACGGCTGGAATAAATGCCGACGTAATTTTTGAGAGAGCATTCCGTATGATTAATATTCTGTGCTTGCACAACTTTAATAGGTCAGTATTAGAAATTAAGCTTGAATAACCCATGTCATGGTATGAGCAACCCCCAGTCTGAGTTGTTCCTTTATATGATCTGCGCATGCGTGTACGACAATGGAATGTGAAGCACGTAGACACTACGAGCTTAGAGGTGTTCTTCTGAAAATCAATGATTTTTATGTTTTGAAATACAATTTATTTGACGTAGTTTATCTTCCATCAATTAAATAGAAATAACTTGAAATTTTTTAATTTTTGTTGTGTAGAAACTCATTATTTCTTGTCTGTTTACGAATGCAAAATAAAAAGTATTATCAAAAAATAATGATTACACAGAAGGGGCAATGAATTGTGCACTCTATCCCATGGTCGCCGTTATTCCAGCAATATGCTTTGTGTTTTTCACTTGTCTTAGAAACCGCATTAACAACAATCCTCTATAAGTTTGTACATCACCTAGCTTTTTTCTGTTCATATCAACCTATTCAGCACTTCTTCTTTCAGACGTTTGTTCTTAAATTATATTTACGTGTTTTTATGACACTATTATAATCTGAGAGGGAGTGAATGCTAAATTTTTAGAAAAAATGAATTGATACCTGATTCCAAATAATATTGAAACTTTCCTGCAATGCCGTTACTTAACAACAATGCAATTTAACATAAATAATATAAAGAAAGTTGAGGTGCTTGGGCACATATAAGTGTTCCTTATTAACAAATAAAAGTTGTCTTTGCTATCTCTTAGTGTATTCACTGAAAACTTATATGACAATATGATATCTTTTACATGTTTGTAAATGTGGATCTTCCAGGTTAGAAGAGTCCTGAGAAGGACTGTTAGTATTGATATAGACTGACGTTTTGACAACCTTAGCAGTAGTCATCTTCAGGTCAAGTGAGGAATAAACGTCAGGTTAGTAAAATTTGTTATCTCATTCTTACGTCATCTTATTGTGCATAAAGGAAATGTGTGAGTGTGCGGGTTTCAATTGTTTATTGATAATGTGGATTAGTCTAAAGTAATGTGTTAGTTGCTTGGTTTTTTTTTGTATTGTGAATGATTGGTTTGTAAGTTTGCTGTAAATGTTGTGATTTGATCAGGGGGTTTTGTTCTAAGTTGGTATACTAACTTTCCAATGAAAGCCGTTGTTTATAGTTAGTGCTGTAAGTAACACATTTTACCGAGTCCCAGTAAATATCGTGTTTGGTCAGTCGGTGATATGATTGGTTTTGTCCTGTTTCTTTGTAGCTCGTTTGTGTTTATTAAGTCTTCTACCTATGTTCCTGCCTATCTTCCCGATAGAGGAAGCGTGGCAGTCGGAGCGTATTATTTTGTAAACTGCACTTTGTTGTTCGTTGGTTTTTTTGTCCTCGATCATCCTTAGACCTTCTGTTGTTGGACCCAGAACTCTTCTCACATGCAATCCACAACAGAGGTGCTATACTTGAATAATGCCGAGGTTTTATAGATGACGCAGCACTGCCAATTCTCAGAACCATATGATGTCGACGAATCATTGACAAAGATCACAAAAGAACTCACCGCAATAAATTTCAAGTATGCATTTAATGATTTAGTTCCTCTCAAAATGTGTCTCCAATTCATAGACAAAAGACAACATGTCTATAAGATTAGAGAGTTACAGACTGGCGTTCTGTTTTTAAACCTCGTACCCCAAACTGTAGTTATAGACTAGCGGTTTGAAGTTTGACGTCTAAATTAAAAGAAAATTTACTTTGATGTTTACCGCAAACGTTGTCCTGGCACAAAAACTTAAAATGGCGGCAAGAACGCAATCATATTTGACATTTTTTAAAACAAATCTGTGTTTTTTATTGTTTTCTATTTTTTCTTTTCTATTTAAACATACTTAAAGTTTGCATGTAAAAAGCTCTTTATTTATTACTAACATTTTTATCAGAGAAGACTTTCAAGTTTTTGATGTTATGTTGAATCATAGTACGAGCTAAAGCCTGTTCTCAACTAGCCACGTATCATAACGTATCGTAGCAAAACGTAAAATAACGCATGCGTGCTTGTTCATATTGACCATCAAATTCATAAGTACGCATGCGCCATGTTACGTATTGTTACGACACGTTACGATACGTGGCTAGTGGAAAACCGGCTTAAGAGTAGCGAAAGTGAAGATGACTTAAATTATTGCTTTTAGACGCGGTATTGATACCAAAACGTCGATTGAGTATCCATATCAACGTCCAGGGAATAAATGAATTTCAAAATGAGCATTGGTTTACGTATGCAAGCTAAAAAGCTATATATTAACGACTTTGGCAAGAAGATTAAAAGCAAGAAGAATGTTAATTTCTTCGATATTTTCTATTTCAAGATTTCAAAAAACAGACAAAGAGCGATTTTGCTTTTTCTCAACGTACCAAAAATATACTACTAGATTATCCTTTTTCCAAAGCCCTGCTAGGTCAGTCGGCAGAGGTGCGACTCTTAATCTCAGGGTCGTGGGTTTGAGTGACGACGCTACACTTCATTTACGTGTCGGGTGACACTTTATTCACGATTCCATATGATTCACGCATAAATGATTCCATATTATTGTGCTCTCTTAGACACACCTGCAAAAATTCTATAATAGTATTTGTTTTTTTTATCTTTCATTTGATGACGAATCGTCTGCAAGGCGACTGCGCATTTTAATTAGAAAAAACAACATCTCTATATAATATTAGAGAGTTACAGATTGGCTATCCCTTTTTAAACCTCATACCCAAGCGGCAATTATAGGTTAGCGGATTAAAGTTTGACGTCTCAATGAAAAAATACTTTAGTTTGATGTTTAAAGAAAAATTACATGTTGTCCTAGCACAAAATTACTAAATGGCGGCAAGAAGGCCAACATTTATGACATTTCTTAAAAGAAATGTTTGGTTTTTAATTGCTTTCTATTTTTTCTTTTCTATTTAACCATACTTAAAGATAGCATGTAAAAAGCTCTTAATTTATTACAACATTTTTATCAGAGAAGACTTGCAGGTTGCAAAGAGACTAAAAGCAAGAGACTAAATGTTAATTTCCTGAGTATTTTCTATTTCTAGGTTTCAAAACGAGTTTTGAGTGACATTTGTTCTTTCTCAAAGTACTAAAAATATACGTTGTTACTGTGGAAAACTGCAAACAGTTTCACAGCTCTAATAACTATGTTGAGAAAGATAACATATACCAGCAGATTGTGCAATCTGGTCACATTGTTTGGAATTACTGAACAAGAACAAAGTGGCATCTTTGCCAAGGTTATTAATTTTACTAGCTATTTGCTGTACAAAAAGCCCATAAAAATGCGATTACCAATGACATTTACAACCACCACAGCCGACTGCTATCATCTTTAGACCTTCTTTTGATGGACACAGAACTCTTCTCACATGCACTGCACAATGGAGGTGACCCACTCAACCAGTGCTGGGCTTATAAAATGACATAGCACTGCCGATTCCCAGACTCATACGAAGTCAACGAATCATGTGCAGAAGTCACAAATGAACTCACTACATTAAATTCCAAGTTTTCATTTTATGACTTAGTTCATGTTTAAATGTGTCTACACGAGTTTTCACTATTTTATTGTCTTACATTTTCGCAATTCCGGCAAGCTCCGTCGGTAGAGCATAAGACACATAATTTCCTGGTCTTGGGTTTGAGCCCCACGTTGCACGATTGATTCCATATTATCTGCTTTCTGGCACATCTATTTGAGCGATTCAATAAAATAATGACTTTCGTTTTATGTTTTTTTTAAACTTTCATTTCATGGCAAAGTCATTACGAAAATGATATTATCCCAAAACAGTTCCTCAATTTTTAGTGATAATCCCAACGTCGGTCCATTACGCAAAATGCGCGTTCATCTACGACTTAACAAAACAAGAATAATACGACATTGCTTATTACTCGTTGGACATTGCTCATAATTATCAATTTGCGAGTTTTATGTCTTTGATTGTCTTGCACTTTCACCAAGCCTGGCTAGCCTGAATCTTTTATTTTATGACAAAGTTGTCTAGAAAACGACTGCACAATGCAACAAGAACTACAACATCTCTACTCTATTATCTTAATAACATCGTCTTTCGTTACATGTTTGTAAATGTCGATCGTCCAATTTGGTATAGTCTTGAGAAGGACTGTATTTGTTGTTGTTGACTGACGTTTTGACACCCTGAGTAGTAGTAATATTCAGAGTCAAAATGAGCGGTAATTAATGTCAACAACAACAAAAACAGTCCTTCTCAGGACTATACCAACCTGGACGATCAGCACTAACAAACATGTAATAATAATCCAGGGTTCAAACCATTTACGTTGTCGCCTCCCATTTTAGTAATAATCCCAACGTCACTCTATCTCGCAAAATGCGCGTGCGTCTAAGACACAACAAAAGAAAGGAAGACAATGTTTTGGAGACGAAGTCGATGCCACTCCTAGACTTAATTCTAA